CAAACAGGTTACTTTGATAGGATCTTTCTTCCCTCAACCCATGTTGACTGGCATTAATTATATTACCCTCCTTCAAGTCTTTATTAATTGAGTCCCATATCAGCCATTCTATTGTTTTGCCCAGGAATTATGTCAGGCTGACTGGCCTATAATTGCCCAGATCATCCTATTTACCCTGTTAAAATATTGGCACAACATTAGCTCTTTTCCAGTCATTTGGAACTTTTCCAATGTTCTAAGACTTATTAAAAATTAACATTAATGGTCTAGTGAGCTCCTCAGTCAACTCTTTTAAAACTCTTGAGTGCAAGTTTTCTGGACATGCTGATTTAAAACTGTCTGATGTTAGTAGCTGCTATTTAACATCTTTCTTATTTATTGTTGGAATGAAAAGTATTTCATCATATGATATGAATACATTATCTGATTTTTCCAAGAATAGAAATATTTACTGAACACTTCTGCCTTTTCTGCTCAACAGTTCTACCATTTCTATCTAATAATGGGCCAATACCATTATTAGGACTTCTTCAGTTCCTGAAATACTTAAAAAACTCCTTACTATTGTACTTAACTCTTCTGGCCATAGATTTCTCCTTGTATCCTTTTCCTTCCCTAACCAAATATTTTCACTGCTATCAACTTTCCCTTTTTTCCATTTGTTATTTATATTATTTTTTATTGCTGCTTTCATTTCCCTTTTAAACCCGTCTGGCTTTTTTTTTTAACCAATTTTTTTCAATATCTCACGATTGTAGTTTTTTTTGGATATTTAGTTGCCAATCATCATTCATAATTAAGTCTGTCCATCATATTAATTGTATTAGATTTATTATGAACTTTCTCTTTTGATTTTTATAAAATCAAGGAAGTAGGGTGACCAGATAGCAAGTGTCAAAAATCAGGATGGGGGTGGCGGGTAATAGGCGCTATATAAGAAAAAGCCCCAAATATCAGGACAGTCCCTATAAAATCGGGACATCTGGTCACCCTACAAGGAAGAGTCCACAAGTTGAAAGACAAGTGATAAGTGTCTCAGTCAACCAGAAACCAGGACAACATGCAAGTAAATACAAAATTATATACACCCGACCTGTACATAATAGTGAGGTGTCAGCAAAAGAGCAGAGATTGAGTGGTTTGTTCATGTTACAAGATCCCCGAGAGGGACTTGGGGAAATCTTCCCCCAGCCTGAGTAACTAGATTGGGCATTACAGAACCCTGCGTTGGGAGCAATCCTATCTCCCAGGCTGCGCTCCACAAAGGTGACTGCAGCCTAACGATTAGTGTCGTCTCCACAGCCCTAGCCCTCTTCGGCTGCTTGGGGAGTGGGGAAGGACTGGCGGATTTTGTGGCCCAACCTGACCCCCATCCCTCACCCACAGGGATGCAGCTGCACAGCTGTGCAGTCAATGCACCCACCACTTACTGCCAACAAAATTTTCCAGTCTCACAGACAGGAAAGCTATCGCATGGAGGGCAGGGGCAGGTCCTGGATGCGCCATTTCTGTGCATCTGAGGGTTCTTTAGATGTAATGCAGAGCTGCAGAACTCTTTGCTCCTATTTCCCTTTCACTACCCCACCCGCTCTCCCCCTCCTGTCATGCTGCTGGCTTCCCTCCCACACCTCTCCCCAGTTCCTTTGACTCTGCTTCGAAGAGAGCTCACTGTGCCACTCCCACTCTCCAAGCTTTTAACTATTACCGGCTAATCCGAAATCTAAACATCGGTGTAGTTGGGGGAAGGCAGGGGGTGCGTTGCCCCCGCAAGGGGCGGAATTGGACCCCAGGCACGTCCCCATTAGCCTGATTGGAGCTGCCCCCCAAATATAGAAGTCAAACTATGCCTATGAATCTAAACTGGGAGATGGAAGGGGGCGGGGTGAGGGACATTAAGGACTAGAGAGGCCTGCAGCCAGGCAGAACGTTCAACTCCAATCCTCTTTCGACTTTTCACTCAGGATTTCTTTTTGTCCAGCTTGACCTCCCTCACCCAGTGAATGCCTGAGGGGTCTCTTGGAACCTTTTGGATGGGAGGAAGTGATGAGAGCCTCTCTCTGCTCACACAAGGGCGCTTGGTTTTATTGAGAAAAATGCACCCCGCAGAAGCCGACACGGCGAGCCTGTGGTGGCCTTTTCTTCATCAACCCTGCAGGCTTGGGGCCATGTCCTGGAAAGGATGGGAACGGCAGCTACCTGGAGATGAATGGAACGCATGATGAATGGTATTTAGGCTGAGATTTTCAAGCTCCTTCCGGCTCCTTTGAGAACTCCTCCCTTAAACCTCATTCATATTAGATATTTGTGGAGCCAGAATTACCAGTGTGCTCCAAGTGGCAGATTTCCCACAAGTGGGCTTTAGCTTTTAGTCAGGAAAGAGACACACCTGGAGGTGTGCTGCTGACCATTCACCATGCCTTTTGTCCTCTCCAAATCACACCCAACTTCCTGTAAAGGATTCCGGGTAGCCTAGTACAATAGGCATTTCCCACAGGAAGAAACACTATACTTAGAATTACCACTTGCGAACATTTAACATGCTATGGGCTACATTTTCCACACTCACAATCAGGGCCAGTTTTTCCAGACACCTCAGTCCCTTTTTAGGCACCTGTATACAGGGCAGTTTTTCAAACGAGCTCAGCACGTTTGGCCTGGAACGCTTTTGAAAAAAAATCTCTGTAAATGTCAAATTGGGAGCTGCTGGGTGCTGAGTCCTTTTGAAAATCTGGATCACACAACGGGGGCTATATGGGAGCACAGCTCTGTCAAAAATCGGGCCCCAACTGCAAATGCCGAGCACTTGAAAAGTCTAGCCATGAGCTCTTTTGAAGGTCTTGCCCCACTCCCACATATTGCGGGTCACTAAAGAAGACGGCTTCCCACTCTGTCCCCAGCTCTTGACAACATGGAGGTAAAATTCCCCTCAGCACAGAGGTGTGTAAAAGACCATCTGCTGCAGAGTAATTTTCACCTATGCCATTTGCAAGCTCATGGAGGCGTCATCCTCTCTAAAATGTCCTGATTGTCCTGCTCGTTTTATCACAACAGAGGTGATGGGGTGTCTTTTATTGCTCTGCTGCAAGCCCCTTGACCAATAAAGTATCCTATTTATTTTATAGCTGGAATGAGAACAGAATAATCCCATCCCATCTGAGATACTTACAAAGCCCCTATTACCATAGCATTTGAGCATCTCACAATCTTTATTCTTCTCACAGCATTCCCCCGGGGATGGATAAATACTATTACCCCCATTTTACAGGTGGGAAGCTGAGGCACAGAGAGATGACGTGACTTGCCCAAGGTCATACAGGAAGTCTGTGCCAGAGCAAGAAACTAAAGCTGGATCTCCCAAGGCCCAGGCTAGCACCTTAACCACTGGACCATCCTTCTTCTCAGCCCCACCCCCTGCAAGTTACACTGCAGCAATCTCTTCCTCATTTGACACGCACCTTCCTCCATTCTTAGAGGGAAAAAAAGGAACGCTACTTTCTCTGACTGGAGCCTATTGAAATAAAAACTAGATGTTATTTTATGTGGGTTTCATGCATCCTGTCTCCTCCTCTTTGTTGCTGTTAGATGCCAGTGCTGCTGGTGATCCCATTACATGTATGAGGGCAAAGCCGGGAAACGTTATCACATATTTTTTAGCGAAGGCAGATTAGATGATTTTAAGCTAACTTCAAAGCTACTGCAGACCTGACTAGAATTGTTTAGTGCTATTTGACAAGGTTCTTTTATTGTGCTGTCGACAAGAACCTAGCCAACTAAGGATGGCAAGGTTAAGGACTAATTGGGGATAGTCAACATACCTTAACAAAAATACCGCCCTACACACATGCACTCCCCTCGTCCCCCCACATGTATACACTCACAAAGGATTCATTTGTTTTACAATAGCATGTACAGATCCCAACTGAGATTGGGGCCTCACTGTGCAAGGCGCTGTACATAAATATAGAAAGAGATACACCTTGTCCCAAAGAGCTCACAAATAAAGATTGGGTGGGGAAACAGAGGCACAATCAGGTGAAGTGTCCTACCCAAGATCACACGGTATAGCTGAGCCAGGGTTGGAAGCCAGGACTCCTAGGTCCCAATCCAATGCCCGTGTGGTCTCTTACAAATTGTGATATTGTCAAAACATGACTAATCAGCAACTGGCTGCTTCATAGGATACAGAGGGGAAGAGGGTGTCATCTTTTGTAGATTGTGAGCTCTTTGGAGCAGGGACACTCTTCCCACACATTTATACAATATCTAGCATGTTGCAGTCACGGCCAGAAACAAAAAGTACACAATAACCATCAAAGTCATAAGTGTATTAATGATCAGGAAGCTGGACTTCTTACGACACACCACAGGAGTGACTAGTCTAAGCAGGCAATGGGCTCCATTGAACCTATATACATTTATTTTGATCACTACAGGAGCAAAATTGACCTTAATTTATTTAAAATGTAGTGAAATAGCTCTGTGTCTGCTAAGGCAGTAGTTAAGAGATACTGGCTCTTGTATTTAAATGTCTATTATTATCAAATAAATTCACACTCCTTCTCAGCTACTTGGTCATTTCAAAATATTAAGGATACATAAATACAGCTTGTGAATTTAAAACAATTATCTTTACTTCCCCTGGAGTTCAGACAAAAGAGCAACACAAAAAAGTGTGCTATGTCATCTGTGCACTATGCCACTGAACTGTTGCCTCTGGCATTCCAACCCCTTGTCTCTTTTCACTGGATCTTTCTGACTTGCACAGCAGGCTCCCGAAAGTGATAATATTATGATTACTGTAGTGAGAGAGAATATCTTCAATTTCTACTGTAAAGCACCATATCCAAATGGAGGAAATCTAAACTGTTAATATTTATTCATAATACTGAGCTGCTTAGCATGCAAAGAAATACAAAGAACACATGTGTGAAAATCATTTCAACTGGAAACAAAATATTAAGCAAAAACCAAAGCAAGCCTGGCTGTGAAAAGAACAATACCTCTGCAGGAATGATCTATCTTCTTGTATTTAAAGTATCCACTCTTGCACTGACAGACTGCAATGCCATCCTTGTCGGTGCATTCCGAAGTTTCTCTGTCGCATTCAGGGTCCTTCTGTTTACACAAACCGCCAACTACCATAAAGACATCACCAGTATCAGCACATGTCCTTGTAAATACACTGCTATGCACATTGATCATCAGCTTTCCCTCTGTATTACACTGAGGTGGGTAATGTTTCCCCCTATTTCTTTATTAATATTTTCTCCCTTTTGAGATAAAGCCACAGGACCGAATATGGCAGTCCCCACAACAGAGATTGGTCCAAACATGTAGGGAAGGGTTGTAACCAGAACATGGATCTGAATTCTACAGCTGTCCCTGCGCTGGGAGATATATATCTATATCCTTTTTGTTATGTGACTGTACCGTACCTAGCACAATGGGGCTCTCGTCTACGATTGTGATCCCTAGCCACTACCACAATGCAAATAATAAATAATAATATAATAGGCATGAATTGAAATCCTGCATCTGAACACTCCCTGGCTTTGGAGGGCTTACAACCTGGATGAGATTTTTGCCCATTTCTGCATTACATACATACATACATTATTTATTATGAGGGTCAATATTTGAACAAGCAACAAAGAGTCCTGTTGCACCTTATAGACTAACAGACGTATTGGAGCATAAGCTTTCGTGGGTGAATACCCACTTCATCAGACGCATGCGTCTGACATGCATCTGACGAAGTGGGTATTCACCCACGAAAGCTTATGCTCCAATACGTCTGTTAGTCTATAAAGTGCCACAGGACTCTTTGTTGCTTTTTACAGATCCAGACTAACATGGCTACCCCTCTAATATTTGAACAGATATTAGAGATGGAAAAGACCTACTGAATCATCAGGTCTATATCCTACCAACCAACACAGCATTGTTCCTTGCAATATATTCTTGAATGCTTTGTCCAACCTAGTAATCCCTTGACAGAATTCAGCAGTCTCACAGTTCTCTCCATTACAAAGTTGTACATGATATTCAGTCTAAATGTGTATGAAATCTTCAGTTAAAAAAAGAACTTGTACGTGCTGTTCTTTTTGCCATACACAACTTGTGCTTCCGGTCTAGATGATTTCTTTCAGATTAAGGGACACAAATATTAAATCCCTGTTAGAGAGAAACAGAGTATCCTTCACTCTGTAAAGCTCTTCCAGCGTAAATGCCCTCACATCTTTGCCTTCTAGCAGACAGACAGACCTCTGACATGTAAAGATGTATTCTATAGTAAGGAGAACCACAGCAGCATACTCCACAAACACTGTTATAATTTCAGCCAAAATGTAGTTTCCCCACACTTCTGGTACAAACAAACCAAACTAGGAGAATCGAGAAAGAGAGGGGTATGGCCCACTGCTCTTAGCATAGAACCAGGAGCTAGAAACTCATGAATTCTAATCCTAGCTCTAATCTTGAGTCTATGGGTATGTCTACACTGCAGTTAAAAACCCGTGGCTGGCCCGGGCCAGATGACTTGGGCTCCTGGGGCTCAGGCTAAGGGGCTGGTTAGTTGCGGTGTAGACGTTGGGGCTCAGGCTGAAGCCTGGGCTCTAGGACCCTGCGAGATTGGAGGGTCCCAGAGCTTGGGCTGCAGAACCGAGCCCGAACAACTACACCACAATTAAACAGCCCCTTAGCCCGAGCTTGGCGAGCCCGAGTCAGCTGGCACGGGTCAGCCATGGCTGTCTAACTGCAGTGTAGACATACTCTATGTGGCCTTGGGCAAATTACTTAACCTTGCCTCATTTCCATTCTCTTTAATACAGCAACACAGGGAAATGAGCAATTAATGTTTGTGAAGTACTTTGAAGACGAGAAGGGCTATATAAGTACAAGTTATTAGTGAGTGAATTCTGCAGTATAGGAATGCGCTCTCCAAGACCAGTTCTCTGCGCCTTTACGGATTCTGAACCAGGCTGTGCAACATATTTGATTGCAGAACAAGGAAACCCCAATAACCATCTGATCACTGTAATAGACCCAAATCCTCTCCACAGGCTTAAGCAGCATGAAAATGGATCCCGTCATCTTAATGCTGAGTCACAGAAATGTAGTTGGCGAGAATAAAAGAATTAAGAGAAATGGAGTTACTTAAGCCTGTAAAGATTCATAACTGAACTACAGGCCTGATCCAGCGCCCTCTGCAGTCCGTAGAAAGACTTCCATTCGCTATGCTGGGCTTTGAGTCAGGCCTGACTGAGGAGAGCTGGGTCAAGTTGGTTGAACTTGGATAACAATAAATCCTTGCTACAACTTCTATGACATTATGTCTCCCAACTGGAGCTCACAACTCTTTACTGTCCCAGCTCTTCTCGATTCCCTTCCCTTCTGAATTTGTCAGCTTGATTTTTAATACTTCTGTAACAGAAGAATTTGTGCTGTCGACAATTCTGTTTATCTTTAATGGGAAGTTAGACACTAACCCTCCCAAAATAAAAGTGCGGAAGAGGCCACCCGCTGGACTTGGTCTCGGCTGGCCTATCAAATCTAATGCCACCACTTTAATTGGGCTGGCGGCAGGAATTAGCAGGTGAAGAGCTTTGGCATGTGTTATGCAGGAGGTCAGATTAGATACGCAAAATAGCCCCTGAGAAAAGGAGTTAAAAACTCCCAACTTTCTCATTTTTATGTTTATTTAGCTTAAATGGCCAGACCAATTTTTCTTTAAATTGTTTGAAATGTTTTTCTTTCAGACTCAGACCCAAGGCTAAATGTTGCCAACTTTCATCCTCAAAGCAAAACATCTCCAGCTATGTCACAAAGCTCTGGGTGTAGATTTTTTTAATGGAAACCTGTCTCTCAAATGTCCCTCGTTTCATGGGATAACACTCATTTTAGTCTGAAGGCTACCTGTGTGGCACACAAATTTGGGGTCCCCTCACTTGGACTGTAACATCAGGAATACAGTCTCATGAAACGGAGGCTACGGAAACCTATGTCCGTGGAAGGAAGGAATCCAACAGCATTTTAAAGTTTCCTGCATGAATCATGTTTTGGTTCTTAGTCACGCACTGCATCCCATGTTTGGTCCTTGGCAGGTGGAGGGGTGTGTATAGAAATGTTACTCCGCCTCGAACCATTTTAATACCATTCATTTTCACCAGTGGAATCTGGCACCAAGAAAAACCCAACCCCCAGCATGTACAGATTAACTATAGCAGCCAAGAAACGCTATCATCAAATTGACTGGAAGGACTTGTCTCACTATAAACCTCACTTGCTGTCACCCTCCCCTTTTTTAGCAGCACTAAGCCCTGCACTCAAATCATTTTGATAGGTTCAAACCACGTGGTTAGAATAAGTCTTGTATTTTTTTGATCTGGATGGGATCCAATGCCATACCCCAGAGATGAAAGGACCATTCACAATGACTGTAATTCTGTGCTGTGTCATGTCTTTCACCCATGTAACGTTTTCACAAAGAGGCAGAGTTCTCACACATGCGAGTAAGATAAAGCTTGAAATCTGCAGTCTCTTTTTACGTTGCAGAGGCTTTAAGATGACTTCCATTTAAATGAGATAAATATTCGAAAGGGACTTTTCAGAGGGCCACAGTCACTTTAAGAACAAACAAACAAATAAAAGGCTGATTGCTTTCCACTTTCATTATGATCAATCCGGATGTTATTTACCTCTGTGGAGCAGCGTAAGGTTGGAGATGAACTGGCAGGTTTCAGCAGGAGTTTTGCAAGCTCTAATGTAGCTTTGTACACTTCTACCAATGTCAAAGAGTGTCACGTTAGATGCTAAAGAAAAGGTGGTTTGGACTGAAACTCGGACAGAATTGGACTCCCTGCCAAAAAAAAAACTATGCATCACCGTTTTGCATTTTATTTCATTGTTAATATGTCCTCGGCAGATTGCTATTATTAATACCAGTAACACATAGCATGCATAAAACACTTGATGTATATTGAAAAGACTGTCCAAACATTAGCTAAGTCCCCATAACAACCCTCTCTTATATTACCCCCACTTTACAGTCAGGGCAAACATATACATTTTTATTTTATATGGAGATATAACTATCTCATAGAACTGGAAGGGACCCCGAAAGGTCATCAAGTCCAGCACCCTGCCTTCCCTAGCAGAACCAAGCACTGATTTTGCCCCAGATCCCTAAGTGGCCCCCTCAAGGATTGAGCTCACAACTCTGGGTTTAGGAGGCCAATGCTCAAACCACTGAGCTAGACCCAATTCTGTCCACAGAGGGATACAAGTAATTCACAATGAAGCCAGTGAGAGGAGATTCTCGTATTTTTCAGGGGCAAAGTTAGGCTTAGGGATATTAATGATCTGATTTTGAAAACAGGTGTCATTGACTTCACTGGGAACTGGGGTTGGTCAGCACTTCTGAAAATCAGGCCATAAGTGACTTGCCTAAGGCCACAAAACAAGTCAGGGGCAGAGTACTAAGATGTTCCTTGCTCCCAGTTCCAGAGTGAGTCCTCTTATGCCACACTGTGTCTATCTTATTATCAACTGCAAAGTTTGTATCCAGAGTTGAACTTCCCCAGAGTTTTAGTCTGTTCAGATCAAGGAGGTTGGTCCTCCCCAACATATACATCCCTAACACATACATTGTATTACATTCCTTACCTTGCAGCTTTAACCATTGAGCTGTAATAGCCAGGTAACGTTGAAAGAGACATGTTCAGCTGAAGGAAAGAATGAATATTCTATTACTGTTCGGGAATTAAACAGGGATCTCTGACCTTCGCAACAGCCTCCTATTTCAATGAGACAGAGGGGCCTTTGTATTGTCAACAAGGGAAGGATGAAGTCGCCATTGTGCAGCTTTGGACATTAGCAAAGTCCTATGGTTTATAAAAATGGACATCTGTCCTGGGCCTGCTGTGCAGTGAGCACAAAGGGTGAGGACCAGCCAGCAAAGCAGTGGGGAAAGAGGCCTGCATAAGGCAGTATTCAGAACGACACACTTGGATGCTGCACATCATCAAAGGCGCCTCCCCCCGAATCCCACACTCAAGGAAAGAGTCTCAGACTCAGTCATTTATTTTGATTTCTCCTAAGTCTGTTTAGTCAATATCACGGAGGCTGTAAGCCCATCTTCCTGCTGCTTTAGCTATGTCACCAGACAAGCCGCCTTGCTTGGTAAACAGGCCCAGTGAACTGCTGTGACCAACGTCTGCTAAAAAGCTGATCTAACGTGTGCAAAGGTAAGAATGAAGACACGGTAGGCAAGAGAACTATCCCTGGTCTGAATGATACACGTGCTACCTCTCCACTATGAGCAAGGAGTTTGATTCTCCTGCTCGTCTACACAAACTCGCACTCGCTTGTACTGAGCTACGCGAGTTTCAATAGCTGTGTAGCCACGGTAGCAGCCGCGGAGGCATGGCTTACTTGTGCCAGGTATAAACCTGCCTGAAACTGGTGGGTACGTACGTGGCACCACTGCCAGCGCTACCACGGCTACCCTGCTATTGATACTCGTGCTAGCTCGCTGAGAGTAGTGGAGTACGTGTACGCAAGCAGGGGAATCCCAACCCTAGCTCGTAGTGTACTCCGAGCCACAGTTATCGTTTCCAAGCAACTTCAGCACCAGGTTGGTATTTATGAGACTTGTTGCTGAAACTGGGGGCATCCAGGATGATTGGTCCTGAATTTGCCTCTGAACCTGCAATAAAGATCTTTATATCCCCTACATTGGAAACTGCAGTACAACAACAAAGCACTAGGGGGAGGGTACTCAATACAAGCCTATAGGCAGCCCCAGCCTAGTCAGAATGAGCTTTGCCTTAGTCTAACTCACTCAGCCTCCTTGAAGCAGGGTCTCTCCATTGAGGTATTGATGGGATGGGGGATGAAATAAGATTCAAAAAATGTGCAGATCTTTTAATATAATTATCAGCCTAATCATCCATCCTTATTTCCTGCCTGGTCAAGTCATCTCTCAGCCAAGGGGGGAAAAAAGCAGCTAATGATTCAAGTTCCACATCTAAAGAAGCCCATCCACTGGCATGAAGGAAGAGCTGAGGTGATTCTTTCTTGTCCCATATCTCACTGGTGAAGCTTGGCTCTCCAGGGGGGTAATCAACAGTGGTTTCTGCCTTCCCAGAGATGGGCAACTTAGACTGGAATAGCATGAACACCAGCCAGTATTATTCGGCTATATGCAGTTTGTCTAATGTGTACTCTTCTGCAAACGCAGCATTCTTATGATTTATTTGTATTGTGGTAGCAACCAGGAGCTCCAGTTGTAGACTAGGACCCCATTGAGCTAGGTGCTGTACAAACAGAACAAAAAAAACCCCAAATAAATACAATTAAAAAACAAACAAAAAAAATTAATGGAGATATCCTACCTCCTAGAACTGGAAAGGATCTTGAAAGGTCATTGAGTCCAGCCCCCTGCCTTCACTAGCAGGACCAAGATACTGATTTTACCCCAGATCCCTAAGTGGCCCCCTCAAGGATTGAACTCACAACCCTGGGTTTAGCAGACCAACGCCCAAACCACTGAGCTATCCCTCCCCCCAAGACAAGTCTTGCCCCAAAGAGCCAATTCATTTTTTTCTTCCCACACACACACACAAAATCTGTTACGAAGCACTGGAATAACAGACTCATAGAACTGGAATGGACCTCGAGAGGTCTTCTAGTCCAGTCCCCTGCACTCATGGCAGGACTAAGTGTTATTTAGGCCATCCCTGACAGGTGTTTGTCTAACCTGTTCTTAAAAATTTCCAATGATGGAGATTCCACAACCTCCCCAGGCAATTTATTCCAGTGCTTAACCACCCTCACAGTTAGGAAGATTTACTTGAAGACTGTTATGTCCTCTCTCAGTCTTCTTTTCTCCAGACTAAACAAACCCTTTTTTTCAATCTTCCCTCAAAGGCCATGTTTTCTAGACCTTTCATCATTTTTGTTGCTCTTCTCTGGACTTTCTCCAATTTGTCCAAAGCTTTCCTGAAATGTGGCACGCAGAACTGGACACAATTGTCCAGCTGAAGCCCAATCAGTGCAAAGTAGAGCAGAAGAATTACTTCTTGTGTCTTGCTTACAACATATTTTACAGTCTTTGAGGAAAAGCCCTCAGCGTCTGGCATGGTCATGACATAGTAAATGAGAAATGCCTGAACCATAAAATTTCATTGGTACAAAGATAAACCCATGATTTAGAGTCTCTGTATCTTGTGCTTTGTTGCACAGATCATGACGACCATTTTTTTTAGTGGTCTCCAAAGTGGGGTGCGAGAGTCCGAGCGGCTTTTTTTTTTTTTTTTTCTTCGACAGTTCGGCCGTGGGTGCATGCTCAAAAATTTTTTACTGATGGGGTGCGCCATCAAAAACGTTTGGAGACCACTGTTTTAGAGAGGACACTTACCATTGTTATTATTTCATCTTCAATTCGAGGGAGTTCAGAATACTTCCCATGAGTAGTGTTCAGTTTCAGTGCAACTTGATCAACAAATGTTCTTACTAAAATTAAAAACAAAGCCTGTTAGCTACAATGCATGCAGCTTTGATACCCCACGCTGCGATCTTATCATGTCCCATGAGTTAGACAGGGGTTAGCCTGGTTGAAAACTGCAAGGGCTATAGCAATGGGAAACCTATGAATGAGTTTACCACTAAAAAGCACAGATCCCATGGGATTCTTCACAAAAGATTGTGTGTCCTAGCTAAATTCCAGCTCAGATAGTTATAGGTAATCTAACTGAATACTCCTGTAGCTTAAATTGAAGAGAAAGCTGTTCTTTTTCATTTCCTGTCCTAACCTGATGTGCAGTGGTACTACTTGCTGTTAATCAGTCTGCATTCCGCCAGAGAGGTAACTATGTTTTGCTGGGTGCAATAATTTTTGTACTATATACAGTATAATCTCTCTGTCTCTATAGGGACATTTATATGGTTGTTCTGAAGGTCTTGATAGACCAAGATCATCTGCCTTTCCCCCCTCCACCAAGTCTCTTTTTTATACTGTATATATTTTACTCATTTCTAATCTTCCATTCTTTGCATCGCTTATCTTGATCTTGCTGGGGTGTTTTTTTTTTTTAATTTTTCCAAATCCTTCCTATGTTGTGGTGCCCAAAATTGCATACAGCTGTTGAGGTGAAGTTGCTGTAGGCTCAGAAAGAGCAGCACACCACACAACCTGCCATGGCCCAAATATGGAGTGCAATGGGTGAAAGAGACTCCAAAGGAGGGACACAAAAACATTGTTAATGAGGGAAACTTTAAATATTGTGGGATTCATTCCTCCAGTGTAAATAACTCTTTCTATAACCCCAGTTACAAGAGTCTTTATTTCTGATTTGAATAACTTCAGCGTGGCCAACTCTCATGATTTTCTGGTATGTTTCGCCATATTTGGTGGTTTTCTTAAAGCCTCAGCTACTGGAGGCATGTGATTAGGTGAGAACCTCAACTTTTTTTTTTTTTTTTTTTTAGTAATTTTTTAGCCCTCGTCGGTGTAGAGAAAAGCTTGAAAATGTGACCCAGGTGTAAAGTTGTGATGGGGTCTACAGGTCCCACACTGAAGCTGGGCTGGGAGTGGAGCAATATTGAGCTAAGGGGTGGGCCCAGCCTACATGCACAGCATGTTCCCACAGCAGATACACTGGTAGCTCAGGGAAGTGGGGAGGGAGCTGCAAGCTCCCCCAAGGAAGCAAGACTGAAGCTGAGAGCTGTGTCAGGAGTGGCCACAGCTTTGTGAAGGCTGCTCTAGAAGCAGGTATTTTGGTCCTCCCTAAAAGAGATTTGCTTCAACAGGACACTAAGAGACTGAAGAGTGTCTCTGAAGCCAGCGACCATGTTCCAATTGGAATAGCTCCAGACTGGTAGGAAGTGACCCAGGGGAAAATATAATTTGGGGTAGCTCAATAGCTGGGCCAAATGCTTTGATAAACCCCTAGGGTACTGGGTCAAGACCCAGTGGAACGGGTGGGCCCAGATCCCCCAGTCCTCTGTAGTGACAGAACCTCTGTGAAAGCAATCTGAGTACACACAAGTGATTGAGGCTGCAGCCAGGGCCCCTCTGGGTTGACTAGGCTGGCAGAAACCATAATACCACGACCTGACCACTAGGACAACTGGTCATCGGACCATCCTGCTACAAACCTCAAGACTCAAAAACTAGAAGGCAAATAAAAATCATTCAAAATCTATTTGTTTTTTTAAAATCTTGTGATTTTTAAGCTAATGTCTTGATTTTGGGGGCGCCTGACTCATGAGTTTTGAAGACTTGGGGTGGGCAATATTTAATTTTCAACAATACGAGAGAAGAGATGTCAAATTTGTGTGGGATTTAGGTAACTTTGGGACTGAAATGCGTGATGCCCTTTGAGATGAGGTACAGTTTAGAGTTAAAAGCACTCTTGCCTACCTAGATTTATATAAGCCTGGGGGCAGAAGCTAATAACCCAAGTTGGAATTTGGTCAGAATAGCAGGGATTCTATCCCTAAATCTTCTATTAAATGTCATGAGATTGTCAGTGAAAATGGGAGATCACAGCTTCAGCTTTATATCTCATCCAAAAGACAAATACAGTTGCTGATAACATTAGAAAGCCTCCAATCCTTTCCCATGCCTTCAGGCTACACACAGAGGCCAGGTGCTCCTCTCATGGCAAGTTTTGTACCAGAGAAACCTCATTGACTTCTCTGACTCCTGATTTACACTGGCATAATAAAAGGTGAATTAGATTCACGGTGTTTATATAATCTGCCCTTTTCTTAGTGCAAAATCAAATCAAATCATTTGCTATCCTAGCAGTCCATCTTAAAAATGCCCTTCATTAATACCTCAGACATGATTCAATAGCACTATTTTCACATTTGTAATTCTTTCAGATCGTGGCTCACAGTAAAGTCTTGTAAAACAAAGTCACTTCTACAATGGGTCATGAGAAAAGCCTGAAATTCGGAGTTGTCTTGCATATAGAGGTGATGGAACTTGGGTATTGAATAATTGTGCTATATGCTAAACGAAAGCTACAAAATAAGGCCTTGTTCCTACAAAGACTTACACAGTTGCTTAACTTTATGCACATGATTAGTCCTACTAAAGTCAAGTTACACAATGGCCCTACTAACGTGTGCCTAAGTCTTTGTAGGAGTGGGATCTAAGCATTTTGTGGAAATCTTTTGGATTGTTAGAATTCATTAAAAAAAAATCTGGATTTTCTGTCCTTAAAATACAAATAAACCTGTAACCATTATTTGAAACATGCTGTTTCTATAGCTTTACAAAAGTGGAGGAAATCTTTAAATATTACTAAATCCCCAGGACATTTCACCACAAAATACAGTAGACTACATATCAGTATAGACAATAAAAGGCAATTATGCTAATGGAAACCAACCATCGGTAGCTGAATTTTAAAGGAAAGGATTTGTCTGATCCCTGGTTTTATTTCTGTCTTAGATTTTTATTTTTAACCGTGTATTTCTTTCTTTCTTTTTTTTTTTTTTTTTTCCGTGTATTTCTTTCTTTTTTTTTTTTTTTTTTTGCAGTGCAATTCTCTTACCTAAATTGCATTTTCCTTTTTCTAGCCGGTATCCAAGAGGACATTTGCAGACATAGGAGCCCTGAGTATTATTACATGTGGCCAAATCTGGGCATGGATTAGAAAGACATTCATCCACATCTGAAACAAGGGAGAAAACACAACAGCCGGTAGAATCACAGAATTACAAGGAATCCTTGGCAGTAGAACTAGAAGACCCTCTGTGTATTGCTGTATGACTCACTGCATCATTACCACTTATTATTATTTATCCTGTTCTTGATTATCCTACTGGAGTTGAGTGAATAAATGCAAACAGCTTTCCCATTCTCGTTCAGTAGTTTTACTGACTTTGCTTCAGCCCCTGTGAATAATAATGCCTAGCTCTTATCAATCACTTTTTATCAGTAGATCTCAAAGTGAAGGTGAAAGAACTTGCCCAAGGTCACTCAACAGGCTAGTGGCAGAACCCGAAACAGAACCCAGGTCTTCTGAGTCCCACACTGGTACTCTAGCCACTAGGATCATGGCCTATTTCTACAAACTGCTATCATTCAGGCAATGCAGATTGATTTATTTGATGGTGCTTGAATTGGGGGAGGGATAGCTCAGTGGTTTGAGCATTGGCCTGCTAAACCCAGGGTTGTGAACTCAATCCTTGAGGCGGCCACTTAGGGATCTAGAGCAAAAATCTGTCTGGGAATTGGTCCTGCTTTGAGCCAGAGGTTGGACTAGATGATCTCCTGAGATCCCTTCCAACCCAGATATTCTATGATAAGACAGAGGAGCCATTGGCTGCAATACTGTCCTTTACCTTCACTGCAGTCTTCTCCTTGCCAGGCTGGTGAACACTTGCACTGATATTTGCCCATAACACCATTAATAACGCATTTTCCATCATGCAGACAAGGGTTTGTGGTGCAGACATTGACTGTGAAATAAGACATTTGGGGGATTAATTCCTGGCTTGACTAGCATGACTGTAGTTTTGTCTATTTTCCGGTGCTTGGCATGCCGTACAACTGAACATTCAAATCCTTATGGGAAAAAGCATTGGATTCTCACCCCTTTTAAAAAGAACACTCCCTTTTCTGCCATGTCTGGAAATGCTCTTCATGACGCATGTGCTATTCTCATTAGCAGGAATATAAATGATGCACATGTCCAAGTGCAGAGCGTAGCCAGAAGGGTTGGCTTGTTTGTTGATTACACCGGATTACAAGACAAACTAGGTGGCACATGTCACTCAGATTTGTTTTGTGATTATTACTGAGCAGTGTAATTCACAAAGGCTGGAAGGATGGTTTTATGGTTAAAACACAGAGTTCAGGAACTCCCGTGTGCTGTTGCTGGCTCTGCTGCAAACTTACTGTGTGGCCTCAGACAGGTCACGGAGGCCAAACATTTCAAAAATGGCCACTGATTTTCGGCGTCCAGCCTGAGACAAACTGATTTTTCAGAGTTGCTGAGCGCTCACCCTGATGACTTCACCTGACCAGAGTTATGGGTGTTCAGCACCTATAAAAGCAGGGCTAAGGGGTCTTTTAAATATGAATTTGTCCACATTTTGAAACATGGTGGGGGGAAGAAATTGTGAAAACACGGAAATTCTCTCTCTCTCTCTTTTTTTTTTTAATGTCAAGATTTGGAATACTGTTAAAATCTTGAAATTCAAAAAATTTCGACCAGCTCTAACAGTGATGAGATACGCACGGGACTCCACCCCAAAACTCATATTCCTGTGTGTATTCTCACTGAAATCAATGGGATTGCTTGCATGAGAAAGGCAAGCACAATTGGGCTATTAATTCCTTAACATTTCTAAAGCAGTTCGGAAGGCATTACAAAAATACAGAGCATTATTAAATCCACAGTACAAAGTGTTAAGTCCAGGTCACCAAAAGGATTTCCTCTTTACAGTAAATGTCAAAACCTGACTTTTAAAAAAAGAATAAAGTAACAAAACATGAATCACTCAATAAAAAGAGGCTACATTAAATTAGATTCTCACGTAAAATGCATTAACCCATGTCACTATTCCCAATATACTTAAATACAATCTGTAATAAAAATATTCAGGCATAGAGTCCAGTCCTGTAAACATTTATTACTGGCTGTAATGCTTTCTATTTTATGTAGTCCTACTGATGTTAAAAGGATGACCGAAGTCAGTAAACACTACCCTGTGTAGGAAGTGTTTTCAGCCCCAGGGGCTTTAACTATGGGTTATATTTCCATTCAGATAAAAACTTTACTGAATATATTTAATTGAGAAGATAAGGAGACTAGACTAACTGACGCCCTTGGGTTTTTGTTATATAAAGTCCTTCACGCACTCCTCCCAGTGTGCTGATGACCTAGCCACAGCTACCTTTCCTCAACCCCCTTAGTCCCTTAAGGATAAGTACATGAGTCACCATTCCAGTTCACTCCTAGAAAGAGTTTTCCCTTAGCCAAGTGTGAAGATGCCTGCTTCTGCCAAATTATGTATTCTTGTTTTATGAAGTGGAGTTTCTGCCAAAGTTTCTGCTTCTAATATCAATCTAGTTCCATGTTCTTAACACATAACTGGCTACGACAAAAGGCAAAACTGGAACTTGTGCTTAACGCTTTTCCCTACTTTTCTTCAAAATATAAAATATAATAATGACTGTGGCAATAGATTCAGCAAGGATACAGAATGTGGCCTAGACTTTCGCTAACAAGAGAAGTGACAAATGCAAAATAATGCACATTGGAAAACAATACTAACTATACACACAAAACGATGGGGTCTAAAGGAGCTGTTACCACTCAAGAAAGAGATCTTGGAGTCATTGTGTGTAGTTCTCTGAAAATGTCTGTGCAGCAGCCAAAAAAGCTAACAGAATGTTAGGAACCATTAGGAAAGGGATAGATAAGAAGACGGTAATGTCACTATATAAATTCAGGGTACGCCCACACCTTGAATACTGTGTGAAGTTCTGGTTGCCCCATCTCAAAAAAGATATATTAGAACTGGAAAAATCACAGAGAAGGGCAACAAAAATGATTAGGCGTATGGAACAGCTTCCGTCTGAGGAGAGATTACAAAGACTGGGAGTGTCCATCTTAGAAAAGAGACAACTGAGGTGGAGATATGATAGAGGTTTATAAAATCATGAATGGTGTGGAGGAAGTGTTATTTATTCCTTCACATGACACAAGAACCAAGGCTCAGACGAAGAAATTAATAAGCAGCAAAGTTAAAACTAACATAAGTAAGTCCTTGTTCACACAACACATAGTTAATTTGTGGAACTCGGTGCTAGGGGATGTTGTGAAAGCCAGAAGTATAACTGCGTTCAAAAAAGAACTCATGTAGGATAGGTCCATCAATGGCTATTAGCCAAGATGGTCAGGGACACAACCATGTGCTCAGGTTGTCTCTAAGCCTCTGACTGACAGAAGCTGGGACTGGATTACAGTAGATAGATCACTGAATAATTGCCCTGTTCTGTTCATTCCCTCTGAAGCATCTGGCACCAGCCACTGTCAGAAGACAGGATGCTGGGCTAGACAGATCATTGGTCTAACCCAGGACAGCCATTCTTTTGTTCTTATGACAGGCCCTTTTGAGGGAGATTATATATACAGAGAGATAGAAAATGATCATAGGTTGTAATAACAGGACAAGCTCCAATGCAAATACTAATGCTGGCCAACTGTCTTTCCTCATTAACACGACATATATTTATATGTATCTATTTTTAATGAGAAATAAAGAAATTGTTAATTCTAAATGTACAAGGAGAGCTGGTCGACAGTTTTTGAATTTTAATTAACTTTTGGTAAAATTTCCACCAAAATTTTCTGCATTTTTCAACTGGGGAATCTAGTAAACTCTCTCCTTTTGTTTCAAATGCTTAAAAATACCCAGAATTAAGACTAACTCATATCCTCAAAGGTTTTTATATAAGCTATGTCTGATGTTCTCTTCATTCTACATACCCAATGTTTCTGGGCAACCTTTTAGCTGTTTTACCTGTTGTATGAGAAGTAGTTACTAATGCCCTTGTGCGACTGAACAGAGCAACAGTAGTTGGTTTGGTAGCTGCTGCCGAAGTGGTGGAAAACCCTGCAGTGGTTTTGCTTGGGGAAGATGTTTTGGAAGGATGTGTAGCTGGGATATTTTCTTCAGTGATTTTAATGCTAGTTGCAGTGCTAGTTTCCATTGATTTTGTAGTTACTCCAGTTACGTAGGCCAGTGTCGTGGTAGCAGCAGTTTGAACTCTGCGAGTTTTCGTAGTAAGAGAATGATCTGTAGTTGGCACAGAACGCTGTGGCCCAAAAGTCATGTCTGTTGACAGTGTAACTGTTTTCCCTGTTGTTAATTCCGCTGCAGGGAACACATCCCTTTGACTTGTCATATTTGGCAAGATACTGGTCGATGCTTTTGCCATCTCAGTGTGTTGGGTCTCCTTGCTCAGACTTGGAGCAGCTGTTGTCAGAAGCAAAGTTGTCTTTTCAAAATGGTCCCCACTGGAAGTGAAAGTTCCTCCTGCGGAGCTCGCTGTTACAAGTGTGGAAGCTGATGTGGATGAAGAGCGACTGCTGAGCTGTTCCATAGGTTCAGTCTGAAGAGGAAGTGGTCCTGTGGTTTTAAAACTAGTGCTCTCTTTCAACTGGTGTGGTCCGCTGTGATTGCTGTACTGTCTGGGTGTACTGACAGAGAACACAGCAGTCGATGGCTCCATGCTGTCTGTCCTTCCTGATGTAACCATGGCCCTGCTGGTTTGAAAACTGTCACCAGCGTGTGATGGTGAAGATGCTGAAGAAAATGAAGGTAATAAGGATGGTAATAAAGGAAATGATGCAACTGACGAGGAGGTGGATAAAGATGACGACAAAGATGGTGGTGGGAGTGACGATGATGCTATCACTGATGAAGAGGATGGTGGAGATGACTCTGATGATGCAAATGAATGAGGCGGCGATGGCGTGGATGAAAGCAAGTGATGTAACGATGACACCGAGGAAGAGGATGGAAATACTGATGAAGATAATGATGAGCTGCCAGTTGGCGACGATTCAGTGCCAGTGAAAAACAGAGTTGCATTTTGTAGATTGACTGTAGAGGAGTAAGTTGGCATTTTGGAAGAATGTACAAGCAAAGGCTCCGTAGATGGAGCAATTAAATCCCCGTCAGTTGATGATACGTTACTTCCTCTGCTCTGAGCCATAAAAGATGAGGATTGTGCTAAATCTGAAGAGTTGGAAATTTCTGCATAAAAAGTGGAACTTTCTGATGATTCGGCAGAGGTGCTGTTATTTGATATAGACAGTAACGTCCTGTCTCCGCCTCTACTAAATGTGGTTTGAATGTACATGCTGTCAGTGCGAGAAACAGAGGTCCTTTTCTCAGTGTCGATGCTGCTAACTGGTTGATGGCTACTTGCAATGCCTGGAATAGAAGAAAAAAAGTAACATGACAGTAATATATATCAAAATATTTTGGCATTTTACTGAAATTATATGTCTGATACAGAAAATTGACTGGTCTGTGTATTGGTCCATCCAGTCCATCAGTTTGTAAGGAGGTTATCTGCAAGTGAAAACTAGCTTGAGTGCAATGCTTTTGCAAATGTAACTATGTACTTATGACTATAATGGAATTTTTAACACCTTCTGAAATGTTAACCTCAAACTCTTGCAGCATTGAGTCCCACACAGGAACTGTATGTTCACCAATAAGTATTTTTATCTCTTTTCAATGTGTTGCCTTTTCACGTGATTGATTACTGTGTCCTCTTCTTGTACTTCGTGAAAGGGTAAATAGTAAAGTCCGTTTGTCCTCTAGATCATTCAGAATGACCTTATTCTCTAACTCTCTTCCTCCATTCCAAATTAAGTAAAACCAGTCTTTTTTTAATCTGTTTTTGCACAGAAGAATTCTCATGCCTCCATAGGAAGAATTACTTTCAAGGACATGTTCTATGTTAGTGTGTATAAAATAAAATAATGTCTTATAAACATTCATTGATCAAAGACTTTATAATCAGGAACCCTGGAAAGTACAACATGTCTCTTTGAAAAGTTAGCCGTGGATGATGCAGAATATTAACATTTATTTTACAGTTAATCATTGGAAGAGTGTGTGTGTAGTGAATTTCAGTGAATTTAGCAAAGTCCTTAGAAATATAGGATGGGATTTTCAAAAATCCTTCTGAATTGGCCTAATTCTGCTCCTACTGAAAGCTCCCATTGGCTTCATGGGGAACTGAGTTAGGCCAACAAGGAGCACTTTTGAAAGTACCACCCATAAAAAAGAAGGTAGAATGCGAACGAATAGCATATCTATCAGATTTCTACTAATACTAGCCAGTCAAGAATCACAGTTTCAATGTTAATAATCCTAGTTGGCTTGATGTCTACCCCTTTGGAAAGATTCCCCAGAACGTGTGAGCGTGGCTTTGATTCGGTTACTTTAGATAGCACATGGGTATATGGGACCACCATCTGTCTGCACACATGGAAAGTATTTAATGCACTGGTGAGATTTTGTATATAAGACTGGCATTCTCAAGGTAACATACACACAAAACACTTACTTGAAGGATCATTTTGGAAAGAAGAGTCAGTTGGTATCTTGGAAGAACGTATAAAGAAAGTCTCAGTTGAAGACCCAGTGAAACCCATATCATTTGCTGACATACTCGTCCCTCTAGTCTCTGCCATTGAAGGTGACTGAATTAATTCTGAGGAATTGGCAATTTCTGTATACGAAGTGGAGCTTTCTGTTGTATGGGTAGATGTGCTATTTGTCAGAGATTGTGACGTCCTTTCTCCACCTCCTGTTAACGTAGCTGAACTGTACATACTGTCAGTATAAGGACTGGAAATCCTTTTTTCGGTTTTTGAGCTGCTAAGAGACTGATGGTTACTTCCAACGGCTATAATGGGATTAAAAGGTGGAAATTAAATTTTATATGCACAAATCAGAATGAAATTGTGAGTTCTATAATAATTTTACCCTGAAATACAGGGCCAAATAACTCCAGCAACTTAAATGGAGCTATGCATGGGATTAATTTGGTTTATAAACACTTTTTACAAATGAAACACCGAGTATTTAAAAAAAAAATCATTTCTATTGATGGAAACCTTTATAAGCGGGACTTTCTAAGGATGAAAGGTATTGACACAATGTGTGTCAGTAGAGTTGGAATGATGCATTAGAATTACTTGTGTGAACTGGACTAGTCAGGAAGTGAACAGTCTCCTACACTAAGAAGATGTGGTCCACTTTCCTACACCGTTGGTCACTGTTAAATACCAAATGCTGTGTAGGTGATCTCATTGAAGAGAATCATTACTGCTTACAAATATTGTGCCTGGCAACTGCAGTGGCTTTGAATTTGTTAGCGATAACAATATGCATAACCCACAGTGGGGAGGAGTGGGAGAGAATGTTTTTCTTATCAAAATGAGATTTTTGAGTTCAGAAAACTCACAGGTTGTATCATTGGGTAAAGACAACGTTGAGCTCTTGGAAGAATCGGTAAGCAAAGGCTTGGTGGAAGGCTCCGTGAAATCGGCATCACTTGATGAGATATTGAAACCTCCAGCCTGTGATACAGAAGATAAGAACTGGGTTGAATCTGAAGCCTCGGCCGCGTCTATATTATGAGTGGAGATTTCTGTTGCCGCAGTCGATGTGCTGCTGTGAGTTTGAGATTGGGATGTCCTCTCCCCACCTCTGGCGAATGTTGTTGACACGTACGTACTATGAGTAGGAGAACTGGAAATCTTTTTTTCTCTATCTGAAATTGTAACCGATTGATGGCTACTTCCAACTCCTGAAAAGGAATTAAAATCTGAAAATTAAAGTTTTTATATGCACATCTTGAGCAGAACAACAA